TGTATTGAAAGAAATCTACAAAGCAAAAACAGGTATGTGCATGTATACATATGTGATATCATAGAATGAGTTAGTCTTAAGTTCCCATTTCATTCTTCATTCTTTTATATATATATATATATATATGATGGTAGGCAGTGGGGAGAGGGGGGTTCCTGTGTTGTAGGAATCTGGGCACTTGTGTAAAATAAAAGTAGCAAACCTGGCTCTGTGTCTGCACCTCTGTTTTCTATAGATGATGCCAGGTGTTCTGAAGACAGGTTAGGTGTGGCTTATGGCCTCCATTCCTCATCTTTCCATATAAACTAAAAACTCAGCTGTGATGTCTAGGATTCAGTGCCCTTCTGAAGAACCTCCAGGAGTAAAGGTTAAGACAAAAAAGAGATGTCAGAAAGGGGCTGTCATAGAAGTGGAACCTTGAGGGGAAACTTCCCCATGGCCCTATTGCAGGCATAGAAAGGCAGCAGGGACTGAACCTTTGAACTGTTGTCTGGACACCACAAAATGGCACAGGATGGCTTTGGGGAAGGATAAAGTTGGCGTTTTCTGGATGTCCTATCAAAAATTCACAAGTCAAAGGGAAACTAAGGAAGATGGGAAAGAGTTCAGAATCATTGTTGAGTACCACCAAGGTGGCTTCTGGAGGAGGTAGTATACCTCAGGGGCTAAACACTTGGACATTGGAGTCAGACCAACCTGGGTTCAAGTTCAGATTCTGCCATTTACTATCTAACATCACTTAGGCAAATTAACCTCTGTGTACCATGATTTCTTCATCCATACAGTGGGGGTGTTGACAGTCATGCCTCCTTCATAGTCCTGTTGAAAATTAATAACATGAGCCAGTGTGTGACAGGTACTGGATCTGATATATAAAAAGCCCATAATAAATGGCAGCTGTCATCATCATCACCATTTTCATCACCATCATCACCACCACCATCATTAATATTTGATCCCGGTTCCCGAGCCTCTTCATAGAGGAACTCGCAGCTGGGTGCCTACAGTAACTGTGGCCCTGCCATTCTTTCTGGCATTATGTTGACTTAGATATTGCTAGAAATATATTATGTTCAGTCACATGTTTGCAAATGACAGATCATTAAGGAAGCACCCGAGGAACTGGGGCAAATCAATACAGAGAGCAAATGACTGAAATCCCCATCAGATGTCCGCATTGTTTTTGCTGGTGCAGAAAGATGCTCAGATGTTTGATTTGTATGTTTGTTTTTATGCTAGTTCTATTAAATCAGTTTTCAGCCTGAAGAATGTTTGCCAGACAAAGAAAGACACATTTGCCAGTTAAGGGAGCCCTCAAACAGCTGCTGGTTTCAGACACGTCCCTAAATTTGGCAGTTTGTGCTGATGCTAATGCTGCTTTTTTGCCCTTTACACTGATTTTTCTCTCCACTGGGAGAGTGGAGCACTGAATCCTTTTTCCAGTTTGCATGGCTAAGCTCTGTGCAAAACCTCGCAGGGGTTACCTGCTACATAGAGGGTTTGTGTGTGAACATGCATGCACACACGTATACATACATGCACACACACATTTGTGTATATACAAAACAGCCTTCCTTCCTTTCTTGACAGAATGGCCATTTTCCTTGGTCATGGGCTGGTAGTGACTCAAAGGATGGAGTTATCGCAACTCCAAAGGGTATTCAGTAAAGCTTGCTGATGGAGAGTTCAGGCTTTAGGATCAAATGAATTTGGATTTGAGCCCGAGCTCTAGCTCATCCTGGCTTTGTGAAGTTAGACAAGTGACCTAATCTCTGCAAGTCTCAATTTTCTCATGTTCAATGTAAGTCTGCCTCATGGAGATGTAAATTGTAAGTGAGATAATCTATGTAAAACTCTTAGCCCACTGCCTGACGTATAGTAATTGCTTACTTAATATATGTTAGGTCTTAGTGTTGTTATTTATATTAAAAGACAAATCTCTGATGCAACCTTGGGCAAGGTTAACTCAAAGCATGCCAGGGATATGGCACTTCATAAGAGGTTAGATGTTCAGCCAGTAACCAAAGCAACATCAGATCCTGGGAAACTGCAGAGACCAAAACCATTCCCCAGAGTGAGCAAGTCTGGACAGATGAGGACACAGAGTGATGTCTCTGCCAGGTTAGCAAGCTAAGCTTTGAACCCTTTGTTCATAATCCACAGCATCACATCTATATTCTATCTTCCCTCTACTCCTAAAGCCTTTAGACTGAGTACCTGCTTCTGCAGAAATTGCATGATGTATCAGAATCAACACTGCAGTCTTAACCCTGCAAAACTTTCTGTGACTTTGGGAAAGTTACTTTAGGCTCTGGGCCTCAGCTTCTTTGTCTTCAAAATGAGACAGAAACAGTGAGACTAGCAGATGGAAACAGACAGTCCTCAGTTCTAACCAGAGGCACCATCCTAGCTCTTTGACTTTGGACAGGTTGTTTGATCCTGAGTTCCATTTTCCAAACAAAGCCAGTGCAGTTTACCTTATATGTTAAGGATTAAGAAAAATAGTAGCTATCAATCAGACTCTTTTAAACATGGAAAACAATATAAATTTGGTTCTGTGATGGCCCAAGATGGATTGTCTTGGGTTGTCCTCCCTCTATCACCAGATGACTAAACTCCTTTGAAGTTAAAGTTCCTACGCATCTTTAGCTCTTCCACTCATCACTAAAATGGAAACTAACTGATTATGAACCACAGAAAGAAACCAACCAACCGCCATTGAGTTGATTCCAACTCACAGTGGTCCTAAGTAGGTTTCCAAGGCTTTACAGGAGCACACAACCTCGTCTTTCTCCCATAGAGCAGTTAGTTAATTTGAACTGTCCACTTTGTGGTTAGCAGTCCAGTGCTTGTCCTACAGTGCCACCAGGGTGCCTTGCACAGAGAGCCAGAAGACATTAAACACCCAACATTGATCTGACTTGCATGGTTTCTTGGCCTGCAACTGGGAGCAGCGGATCCTCTTTTAAAAGCTGAGCAGGTTGTCATCCTGCCAGACAGTGGCTCTATCCAGAGGCATCATCCAATTTATGTCCCTTGCCAAAGTGGCAGGTGAATCACAGGATCCCCAATGAGCATTTGCCACCTGACTGGTAGCTCTAGAAATCCTTGGAGCTGCTGACTTGGCCGAGAAATCCCTGCTGAGTGCTCTGCCCAGCTAGGAAACAAGAATGTCCTTGGAACTTCTCAGTCAAGGCAGCTTGCCCCTGTGGATAGCTGTGTCCAGTAGACTACAGTCTCTGAGATCATGTGGCCAGCTTTCATGGTCCACTGTGAGCCTGTCAGCCAGGTCCCTGTCTGCCAGGCCTACCCAGCCACCCTGTGCCCACGTTCCCTGCAAAAGACCCTGCCCAGTCCCCTCCAGCAGGGCACAAAGGCATTGTTAATGGACCGTGGCAGTCTCATTTGTAGACTCTATTCATCCGGCAGCCAAGAATGATCTGTCCTGATGCTCCCTGCCTCCCCTCACCCGCCCTTCCTCTTCTCTCTCCCCTCTTCTCCCCCGCCCCTTTCCATTGCCTGGAGAGTGATTTGTCTGTGTTATGGGTAGGCCTGACAAACCATTCCACATTAGCAGCCGAGATGTTGTTTGAAATGGGAAAATTGCTGGCAAACTGCTCCATTAGCGGTTCCAGTAACAAATACTCTGCTCCCCCAATGAAGATGAGATCGCAGAGGCACAAATTAATACGACTGTCTCCCCCACTCTGCAGCGGGGATTACTCTTCAAGACGAATGGTCCCATCCCAGCCAGAATGTGCATCCACTAGATGTAGCCCAGGAGGGAGCCAGTCTTCCCCTCTATCGCTTCTGTTTCATACACACACACAGACACCCAACACACACACACATTTTCTGTGTCTTCCAAGCTAAGGGTTTGGGGAGCATCCATTCCTAGTGAGGAGATGAAAAGATCCACACCTTGGAGAGAAGGGAAATGGATGAGGATCAGATGCTGAGTGCTCCACCTGGTCCAAGGCATCATTCATCACCCTTAATCGAGAACCCAACCTCCCTCTCACGCCAGCTTCCCACCACACCTGTTCATGGTGATGGGAAGTCATTTGAGGAATGAAAAACTAGAGAACAGAAATGCTCATTTCACTCCCCAAGGGCTCCGTCTCTTCCAAGGAAGTTTTGAGCCCCAGGCCTACAGAATCTCTTGTTCATTTCAGAGTACAAGGAAACATTTCAAGGAAACTCCAGGAGAGAATAAAGCCACACATTCCAGTAGTAACCCAGGAGGGTGGTCCAGTCAGGACCTCTGGTCCTACAGGCTGTCAAGGAGCAGTGTAATGAATGTGAGGCTGGGAGCCTAAAGACTTTAAGACTGCTTCTCCAGCATATTAGAATAATTCATTGTAAAGTCCAGCCATGAAATCAGAAACAGACATTTCTGCTGCCTAGAATCCATTGTTGTTGTTGTTAAGTACCGTGGAGTCGGTTCCGACTCATAGCCTACACAGGGTTTCATAATTAGCAGGGTTTCATAATTTATGACGTGGCTCCATGACAGATGGGCATGGCTGGCCTGTGGCCCTTCTCTTTTGACTCTTGCTTCTCTTTATCCTTATGCTTTTATGGAACTCTGGTAACTTCCTAAAGGTTTTTATGCAGATAATGGTTGCTTCCAAAGGAAGCTTTCAATAAGCAAGGGTCATGAATCCTCAAGGAGAAGGTCTCTTTCTGTAGCTTTTTTTAAAAAGGAGTAAGATCTTTGGATGGATGGATGCTTTAGATACCAGAACATGAACTCTCAGGCTTCCTTGTCTCCTGCAACCAGGACTAGTGCCCTGTAATGAGAGGAACCATTGTTCCTTGTTGTTTTGGTTGTTAAGTGCCATCAAGTCGGTTCTGACTCACAGCAACCCTGTATAGGGTTTTCAGGGAGTGACTCGTGAGTTTGAACTGCCAACTTTGCGATTCAAACTGATCTTGCAGACCTATACTTTAGCCCACAGTGCCACATGTAACTGACTCTTCTCTGCTCTGTTTCCTAGACGCCTGGAACAGAACTCCATCAAGTCAGTCCCTGCAGGAGCCTTCGTCCAGTACAAGAAACTGAAGCGAATGTAAGTTTCCCCTGGAAAGAAATGAGCCCAAAAGTTTTCTGTGTGTTGGGGTAATAACGGCATGTGTAGTGGCATCATGTGTCTCCTGTTTCAGACCTGAAATTCTCTCCTAAGATTGGGAGGTAAGATTTAGAAGTAGCCCTTTAGATTGTAGTAAGTGTGGACTTAGACATGTAGAACTAAGGTCTCTCCAACCAGAGCAAAGTAATCTTGTCAGTGGAAGTGGAGATGAATTGGTCTAAATAGTCCCTATCACCATGTTTATTGTCTCCTGACTTAGGTATTTACAGTGAAGACTTATCATTAGTCTAGCATCCATCTACACCACTGTTACCAGCAACCCTACAACAGAGTATTCATTCACTTAACAAATACATACTGAATATCTGCCATCTATTGTGTGCCAAGTACTAAGCCAGGCCCAGAGGACACAGCAGTGAATGAGAACAAAGTCTGCTCTCACTGAGCTTACAGTCAAGTGGGAGAACACAGAAAATAGGCCATTAAATACCAGAAAGTGGTAAGTGCCACAAAAGTAAAACAAAGGAAGAAAAGGGAACAAATAATGATGATGGGAGAACATTCTAGGTGGATTTGCCAATGAAAGCCTCTATGCACAGGTGACCTGAATGCGGGGACTGAGTCACGAGGATTTCCCAGGGAAGAGGGTCCCAGGCAGTGGGAGAAGAGCATATCAAAGGGAGTGTATGTGGAGGTTTGTTGGAAACGTGCGGCTTGAGTGGATAGAGTGAAGGAAGAAATAGGCAGGGACTAGATCACATAGAACCTTTAGACCATGATGAGGACTTTATATTTAATTTTAAGTGATACAAGTTACCTTACAGGGTTCGTATTCTCCTGCAACATAGGACTTGGCCATGATTATATTCAATGTCTGCACTCGAGCAATACATTACCGCCGCCCCATCATACCTGCACTGTGAATTCCTTACCACATCAGCCATTGACAGCATGCATCATTACATCAGTGCCTTCTTCCCAGGCATTCTAATATCATCATCATCCTCATGACCTGATGAGCAGGAACACAGTTCTGGGAATCTCTCAGAAGCTGGGTACTCTGAAGGGAGGCTAGTAGGATTCAGAAAAGGTCCAGCATGGCTCTCAGATTTTAAGAGTTTGGAGTAAGACTCCTTTCCCTCTTCTCGGGTAAGAAATCATTTGTCATAGTCAAAGTCATCACCATGCTGCTTGCATTTTGTTCGCTCCCTCTCTCTAGTCCCTCACAGAGGGAAGAGAGAGAAGATGGGTAGTTATTTGCATGAACTTGATCCTGTGTTTTGTTCTCACTCCAGGCTGATTCATTGGTTTCCCTTGAGTGGAAGGGCCTATATTAAAGAGGTTAAGTATCTGCCGGTTCCTTTTATGTTGAAAATAAACATCCCAGTGAAACAGTGGCATTGGTAGGCTTTACTTTCAGATCCCATCTCCCTGGATATCCAAACCAAATAAGATTCCCTCCTGGTACAATTCCAGATGTGGAAAACTCAGCAAAATGAGCCAGCCCTAAGAATGTACTTCTGCTGGAATAGCTGTATAAATATGTTGTTGTTGTTGTTGTTAAGTGCCACTGAGTAGGTTCCAACTCATAGCAACCCTGTATAGGGTTCTTGAGGAGCGGCTGGTAAGCTTGAACCGCAGACCTTGCAGTTCAAACTGACTTTGCAGTCCAGTGCATTAACGTTCAGTGCCACACCAAGACTAGGCCTTAATATTTAAAATCTTGTACAGTTAATCTCGTGGTGTCTTGCTTCTCCAGCCCGCTCTCCAAGCGCTGCCAACCTTCCCCCAGCCCCAATTCAATTTTAAAGCCCAGCTTGATTATACAGCCAGCTAGTAATTTCAATGAGAAATGACAAGTTCAGTCACTGCCCCAACCTATATCTCTTGCATGATTTAAGTTACTGCTCTAATTTTTTTGTGTGTGAAGTCCGGGTAATTTAAAGCTTGGCTATGTTTTACTGTCCTTTCTCCATCCGATTGGAGTCGCCATGATGTGTGCATTCAAAATTCATAAGACCTTCTCAGTCATGACCTGGAAAGTGAATTTAATTTTTGATCACTCTTGATGCTACTGATATTTATTATGATGCCCTCTCCCCCTCCTCCCCTAAGGGGATAGTGGTAGGAAAGAGTTGAAATTTTTTCAACTAATAGAATTTCAGAAACCCAGACTGAAGTGTAATGGCTTGAGAGAAGTGAAGTCCTTAGTAAGAATGGATTTTCAAACCCTAAGTGTGAATCCCAATCTTGTGTTTTAAAAAATAAAAAAATACCCACCAGTAAGTGGTTTTGTCTCACCTGTCCTTAATGTCACCTTAGTATAAAAACAGTGTCAAGGTAGAGAAGTCATTCATAGGGAGAGCAGAAGACAATGGGAAGACCTCTTGGCCTTCTAGGGATGGTTAACTTTTAAGCGCTGACATCTGGAAGCCACCCCTGGGTTGTTTGGCCAAAATAGTAGATTAAGAGTTCTTTCATTTACATACTCTATAGGTAGGTAGAGCAATTTTTCATGGGCTCCAGAGTATGCTGTTGTATCACATAAGCCAAGCTGTTTACACATTGTATTCCCTGCCTAGCCCTTGAAGACACTTGAAGGTTCCATATCTGTTCTGCACATTCTAGAAAGACTATTTCTTCTTGATCATCCAGGGAACTAGGCTGGGTCTTGAGATTGATGATATTCTGAAACAGTGAACTAAAGTAAGATTCAGAGACTACCTGTGTGGGTTCACCCAGAGAGTTGTTAATTATGAAGATCCCCACTACCCACAGATTTTCTGTGGCTGCATTTTAATAAGCAACCTAGTAAGCTTTTAATTATTGAATGATGCAGAAAGCATCAAGAGAAGATGGAAGAAATGCACAGAGTCACTGTACCAAAAGGAAATGGTTAATGTTCAACTGTTTCAAGAGGTAGCATATGATTAAGAGCCAATGATACTGAAGGATGAAGTCCAAAGTGCATTGAAGGAATTGGCAAAGAACAAGGCATCAGGAATTGATGGAATAAAAATTGAAATCTTTCAAGAAAGTGAGGTAGCATAGGAGGTACTCACTCATCTCTGCCAAGAAATTTGGACGACACCTATCTGGGTGACTGATTGGAAGAGATTGGTATTTGTGCCCATTCCAAAGAGAGGTGACCCAATGGAA